GTGGGAGGGGAGCTGTTGCATTGTGGTAAATTGTGGTCAATGTCATGAGACAAAGTGTATGTGAACTGCTGTACGGAAAGTGAATTTGCTCTGTAAATTTTCACCCAAATCACAATAAAAAAAACAACAACAACTAACTTTTGAAAAGAAATTGTTTTAGGAACCAGGATTCTTACCATCAACATTAATTGATAAAGTTTACAAGTCAGCAGTTACTAGTTCTCCTTAAGAATTAACTAATGTTTCGTTACCTGGGCAATGTTATTGATACAGAGCAATGGAAAATTTGGAGGAAGAAGTGGAGAATCAACTTCTCTCTTACATATGCTACATTTTGTTGGAATATGAGTAATCATAAGAGTAGAAACGAAGGGTGCGCTAATCATCAAAATGGCATCTGACTTCCCAAATGTAGCAATGCTCCCTCCAATGGGCTGCATCACTGTGACTGTCAACTTGAGGACACAGAAACTATGAATAAACCAAGTGCATCCTGAATTTTCAACTGAATTTTCCAATAGATCTAGAATAAGATCTAACAAGAACTAGCTACAAGAAATTAACCAGCTCAACATAAACTGACTCTAAATCACTCTTAAAAATGAATTACTGCTAATGCAAAAATACCAGAAAGAAGTCTTGGAGACTTGCTTTCCTACTGGACCACATGTCATTTACTGATTGGTAGAGGTCACTAAAACATACTACTAGGTCTAAATCAATGTATCATTCTCCTGGTCTCCTTATATAACCTTACTTTTTTAATATAAAAGTTAATTATAGGAAAGCATCAAGTACGTATCTCCTTTCTCAACACAGATAAATATAAGCACATTTGAATCTTTGTTTTATACGATATGCCCAATAAGCTATATGGCAAACAATCCTGGCAATGCCACTGCATTATGAACAAAAGTAAAAGAACAATAGTCTCCAAAATATAACTCTCCCTTTCTCCTCTTCCAAAGGGAAAAGAATTTTCCCAACTCCTTCAATTTTATACCAAAGAATACAGAAAAAAATAGTTAACAAAATATTTATAGAAGCTTATATCCATAAATTTTGAGTGCAAACATTTCATTAATAACCAAGTTTTCCTATCATACTGATTTTTAATTGTATCAAATCATGAATCTTAGAGGGCATAGAAAACAAAGGCTAAATGATTCTTCCAATTTACAATGATCACGTTTCACCCTTAAAAGTGTAACCACCATGAAGCAACAAATTCCGCGCATCTTGTGCTTCCTTCTCTCCACTGATTAAATGCATTCTGCACTACAGTCCAAATCTGCTAGTTTCTGCCACCACACATATCAGGCCTCCAACGCACTCCACAAGCCAGGGCTTAAGCTGTCTAGAAATCCGCACCGTGTCACTGCATAAGGCAGTTTCCCACTGCACACATCCAGGAAGAATGCCATACAAGCACTCTGTCAGATATCAGCAAGGCTGTAAATAACAGAAGTAATTGCTAACCAAAGGGCAAGGCAGCAACCACCACCACCTTTAAAAATCATTAAGCAGTTTTTGTCCTCCTCATCTCACCTCCCTCCTCCCCCTTCTCTCTCTCTCTCCCCCTCTCTCCCCTACACACACACACACACACACTGCAGTTCATCTTAAGGTTTGCAAGTGAGCGGCTGAGAGCTCTAGGCTACCTTTGGACTGACAACTCATTCAGAGCTCTGAAATACAGACATTTCTCACCCGCACACACCACGCCACTTCCACCACCACCACCCTACACACACACACACTCTCGCCCTCGCAACCTCTTCCCACGTCAGTTCACGAGCTGCAGACAACCTAGCAGCTCCTCCGCAAAAGTAGCACGCGTTACTATTTAAAGATTTGAGCGGCCTAAGTTCCAGAAACCCTCTCCCCACACAGGCAATCCCCATGGCGCGGCCCAGGAGGTGGACCCCTAGCCCTCCCGGAAAGATGCGCTACCTTTAGACTGGCAGTCTGCACAAAACTTGTTATCTTCTTCCAGCAGCAGGTTGGCCAGGACCGCCTGGTACCGATCTACGTCCTTCACCGACTTGCCTGTCATGGCCAGGGTGCCGGCGGGGGCAGAGGGTGATGAGCCCTCCTCGCCCCCAAATGCTTCTGCCTCAGTCCTGGTGTGAGGACTCCAGTCCCCCGCCCAGGGGCACTTCCTGAGCGGGGGAGAGCCCTCTCCTCAGGCCGGGTCCGGCGCCCCTTCTCTAGTCAGTGCCTTCAAACCCCGACTCTGCAGCCACTCAACGTGGCGCCCCCTGGCGGGCTTAGCGAAAGGCCCGAGTCTGGAGGAAGCTGCTGGACCAGGGACCCCTCAGCCCAAGCAAAGGGCGCTCTAAGTCCTCCTGAGTGCAGGACGCAGAGAAGGCCTCCTGGCCTGCCTATCTGCGGGTCGTGCGTCCCGCGCCTCTGTTTCCCTGGCAGCTGTAGCTTGCTCAGCCACCACCTCCACCGCCTACTTCCGGCAGCTCTTCCTCTCCGCCTCCACCCAGCCCAGCCCGCGCATGCGTCCCGCCCCCATCGCTTCGTACAGGGCTCTTCCCTCGGCTCCGCCTCTCAGGAACCAATCCCGGGAGGAGTGAGGGGCGGTGCTTGGAGTGAGGGCGGAGGGAGGAGTGGACACGCCCCCTGCATGTCCTTGGAAAAGAATGAATGGAGCCTGGTGAAAAGTGAGTAGAAGGAGTAGAAGAAAGTGAGGGAAAACAGCAACTAACATTTATTGAGCTCTTACTGTGTGCCAAGCACTCTGCTAAGCGCTTTACGTGAATTATCCTAATTAATTCTCACAACTTTATGAGTCAAGTACTTATCATCCTTATGTAACTTGCTGTTACATGATGTATTATCCTTATGTCCTCCATAAGTCCTTCAGCTTATTCTGTCCTTCAGAAGGGCCCAAGCCCCTAACCCAGAATAAAGGGAACGTCACACTTTCCCCAAAATTTCAGAGGATTCTGGTCACCTCTCACTTAAAATTCCTACTCTCACTGAATTCTGAGTCCCTCTGTTTGTTAGCTTTCCTCTTGTGGCTGCTGCCATTTTTGGACACTGTTTTGCCTGATTCTAGACACTTCCTTTCTTTCTTTCCTTAAATTCCCTTATTTAAGGAAAATTCCTTAAAAGCTGCACTGAGAAGTGCAGCTTTGTGTCACAGACTTTTACTGAAGGGTATTGTGGGTGGGGAGTGGGGAGTAGTTACAGCATAGCATAGAATAGGCAACTACTTAAAATGAATATTAAACATAATTGTCCAAAGACACACCTGCCCCAGAGAATTTATCAGTGACTCCTTTTCTTTAGGGATCCACTTACTATCTGGCTCATATATTCATTCATGTATTCATTTGTTCATTCTCTCAGCAAATTGTTACCAAAAAGCTTCTATGTATCAGGCACGGTACTGGAGGAGGGGAGAACAACATGATCACATTTTTGGTTTTGTAAGATTGCTCTGGTTGCCATGAGAAGAATGGATAATGGAAGCTGGCAAGAAGGGATGCTCAGAGTTATCTCTTGTAAACCTCTCTTCTCCATCTCTTTACTTTCTCCCAAGATCAGGATCCATCTCATCAGAAGAAAGATAAAATTTTCTATTACTTTGTTAAGCTGAAAAATTTAATTCTCCACCTAAACCTCTTCCTTTCTAGCTATGCCCAGGGAGACTTGACATTCATAAACACACAAGTTCACTGAGGTGTTTTCCCTAAATAAACTCTCAGTTCTTTCTCTGAGAGGAATTCTGCCTTCTTCCTAAACCAATTGTCTCAACTTGCAACCAGTTTGTAATAATTTTTCTTACTTTAACACATATACTATAAATGAGCAAACTAAAGCTCAGAGATATTAATAAACAACTCTAACATCTAGTAATTAGCAAAGCTGGGATTTTTGACCTAGATGTCTATAATTGTAGAGTCTTAATATTGTCAGAGGAGCTCTGGTAGCATAGTGCCTAAGGCACTTGACTGCTAACCAGAAGGCTGGCAGTTCAAACCCACCAGCCACTCCTCGGAAGGAAGGTTGGGCATTCCTACTTCCGTAGTGATACTGCCTCGGAAACCCAAGGAGGGGTCACTATGAGTCGGGGCCAACTCGATGGCAAATAACAACAACAACAACAATATTGTCAGAGGTTTTGCTTATCCTAAGATCCTCAGAATAATCCATCAAGATAGATGTTCCCATATATTTTTTTCAATTGATGAAACAGAGGCTCAAGATTACTCAGTGAATTGTGATGATTTTTCCTTATTTCAAGTCCTCCTCATCTTCCTACCTATGCTGTGTAAATAGCCTTCCTGCTTTAGTCTAACTCTAGTTAAACCAATCCCTCCCACCACCACCATCTTGGAGAGAACTTTCTAAATGGCAAAGCTCATTGAATCACACTCTTCTGCTTAAAATCCTTCAGTGGCTCTCTGTCACCTATTATGGTGCTTCACAAATTTTTCCATCTAGTGAGAAACAGCATAGTCTGCTAATTATGCACATGGACCATGAACCCAGAATGACTGGGTTTAAATCCTCAGCTCCACCACTTACTTCTGTGTGGCTTTGAACAGGTTACTTAAACTTTCTATGCCTCAGTTCAGTTATTTCATCTATAAAATGGGAATGCTAATGATATTAAAAGCACTTGTGAAATCTCACAGAGTCTTTCTTAAAGACAGTTTGGTCAGCTTTTGAACCTCTTCTTCTAATTGTACGGGCTCAAGCTCAATTCCAGGGGCTTGAGGAGTAGAACTGTGTTCCATAGGGTTTTCAGTGGCTGCTTTTTCAGAAGTAGGTCACCAGACCGTCCTTCTGAGGCACCTTCGGGAAGACTCAAACTACCAACAGTAGTTTGTTAGCAACAGTGCATGTTAACCATTTCCACCACCCAGCAACTCTTGCATTATCCACAGGTATATAATAATGACCAGGCATCTTTCATGAACAGTTGTATTGCAACAACGTAATGATGCAGGAGAGTAGGCACCTGTATCAGTATTTCCTGCATTTTCAGGGCCTAGGAAGGATTCCACAACTGTACCTAGCCAGAGACCCTGTAGTATAATGATAGAAAATCGTCTCACACCAAAGCATATCCTCTGGAAATGGTAGAACTCTGGAGAAAAGACAAGATCCTAAGATCTGCTGCCCATCCTTCTCCACCCTGCTCTGCCCCCAGAGGCCCAACTTCCATGGATGGTATCAACCAAACTGACTTCTGATTGAATTCAGCCAATGGAAAGCACAAGCAGAAAATCAGAGGGCAGAAGAAGAGAAAGGTTGAGTTACTTATTTCCTCTGCTGTCTCTCTGCCTGGCAGAGCCTCTGCATTCCTCGAGTGACAGCCAGAGTGCCTGCTGGTGGCCATCTCCTACAGCTACGGTTCTCACTGGGTTCTGATAATACTCTCTCCCCTTATCCTTTCAGGGTTTGGAGATAACAGCTTTCTATTTCATGTCCCTTGCTGGTTTCCTTTAACCTTGCCCACACTTTTGACCCTTTAGAGAGGCAACGAAAAAGGGGAAGTCCTTCAAGGTGATGGATCAACACAGTGGCTACAATGATGAGCTCAGGTATACCAAGGATTGTGAGGCTGGCATAGGACCAGGCAGTGTTTTATTCTGCTGTACATAGGGTCGCTATGAGTTGGAGCCAACTCAAAGGCACCTAACAACAACAACAACACACTTTGTAAAAGGTTGCTTTCATTAAACGCTCTTCAATTGCCTCTTTTGCCCGGACCATATGCTTCTTATTGGAATCCTGACCGAATCACCTCCAATGCACTCTTCGTTAAAAATGAGAGAGAAAATCAAGAAAGAGGAAAACAAAATCCAGAAGACAGGGTAACCAACACAGGAGAAAGATAAAGGCTATTTCCAGTATGATGGTGAAGGGAAATTCCAGGATGACCATTATCAACAGAATGCCTAGTACAGATTGGAGCAGCACGACAGAAGTTTTAGAGTGGAAAGTGCCAAGAAAAAATGAAACAGATTAGCTGACGTGTTTGACCTTATGAAAAGGAAATTCCCCTCTGGCAGAAAATTCATAGATTCATAGAAAAATCATAGATTATTAAACAAATAAAAATGGAGTCACTTTGTACTCCAAGGAAAACAAAATTTTAACCAGAAAATCATGGACTCAATATATGTAAGAATCAGGCATGAATAACATTGTTATGTTAGCTGCTGTCTAGTCACCCCCGACTCAAGGCAACCCCATACACAATAGGATCTCACTGTTATGATCCAGAGGATCGTCACTGATGATTTTAAGAAGTAGATCATAGGCCTTTTCTCCTAGTCCATCTTAGTCCACAAGCTCCACTGAAACCTACTGATGGTCACAGCAACATGCAAGCCTCAAGTGACAGGAGGGAGGGAGGTGGCTGTACTGAGGTGCAATGGCCAGGAATCCAACTCCGGTCTCCGATATAGAAGGCAGGAATTCTACCTGAACCACCACTGGCCCCTGAATAACATTTACAGTCATATTATAAGCAATGAACATTAATTTAACAACAACAATAAAAATAGTAATTTAACTATATTGGGAAAATATGGGAGAGGAAGTATGTGTGGTAAACCCACTGTCCACTGCCATAGAATCAATTCTAACTCACAACGATGCCACAGGGTTTCCAAGGCTGCAAATCTTTATGAAAGGAAAGCAGACTGCCTCATCTTTCTTCCATGGAGCAGCTGGTGGGTTCAAACTGCAACCTTTTGGTTAGCAGTCCAATGCTTTAACCATGGCACCACCAAAGTTCCTATGTATGGGATTATCTTTTTAAAAAATATCTAAATCCTCATCTTCCTTAGTAAGAAGTGAAAAAGCAAAGCTGCAAAGGTACATAATGGTAGTATTAAGCATGTCCTTTGGAAATACAGAGGTAAAATTGTAAATTCCAGAGGAAATAGCTACAAGAGTTGAAAGTGGCTATCTGAAAGGAGTAGGGGCCAAAGTGAGTAGAGGTGAGGTAGGGCTTACTCAACTCACTGCTGTTGAGTCAGATCCGACTCATAGTGACCCCTCCTTGGGTTTCTGAGGTGGTATCACTACGGAAGTAGATTGCCCAACCTTCCTTCCAAGGAGTGGCTGGTGGGTTTGAACTGCCAGCCTTCTGATTAGCAGTCAAATGCCTTAGGCACTATGGCTTACTGTGTGTCATGTTAAGCTTTGTAAACTATTTGACTTTTAAAAACTATATACATGTTTGACTTTGATAAAAATTAATAAGAAACACACAATCTTACCGTTATCAACCAACACTAATAGAAATGAATGTTGGTAATAATTGCACTAGGAAATGATGCAAAACATTTCCTGTTGAGGCAGTTTTTACTCCATACTGAGTCAGCTTCAGATAAGCATTCCTCTGGTCTTTTCTTCTGCCCTCCCCACTCCCCCAAGTCCAGT